AAAATGAAGAAAAGTTTTGCGAAATATTCAAGCCTTCGACGCTTAAATTAATACTAGGGATTTCAACTTTCCCGAAATTGTTTGGCTTTCAAACTATTGTCCACCCAGATTTCAGCCCTTCAAAATGATCTCAGTCGGTCTGTTCCCCAACGAGAGATAACAATATTTTAGACTTAATTTTCACGAACGACATAGATCCCCTTTTCGTTGATTAAACGCAGAGCCTCTTCCAAAGTGGCCATACATGAATTTACTGCTGTCTTCCGCTTGTCTCTACATGTAAAAACCACAGCCTTTCCTACCTTTCATGCTGATATAAGCTTAATTAATAATTTTGTGGATTCCCTAAACTGGCAGCATGTTTTCTCTGTGAACATCTTACGACGGAATCTGAACCGGTCCCATCGTTTCAGCCATGCTTAATCAATATTATCGGTACCATTGATTTCCCCGTAGAATTAATTCGTAAGCATGTTATTCGCCTAATAAACTCGCACTCTTAGGTTACTGATTGTATGCCGAACTCAGTTATCAAGAGAGTGTCGGGCTTCCACCGATTGCTTAGTCATTTTTCCTCAGCCTATCTTTCAAACGGCTTCCTTCCTGACTCATAGAACAAATTATTTATTCTTCCAGTCTTTAAGTCAGGATCTCGTTCGGAGGTAAATAACCATCGAGGCGTTCACAAAACCCCGGCTCTAGCAAAACTCCTTTAAAAAATATTTTCAATCAAATTGTAGACTTTTGCATAGAAACTAAGCTACAAAGCTCCGCACAGCATGATGTTCTACCTGGAAGATCATGCGAAGCCTGTCACTTGGCTTTTCTTAACCTCGCCATTTCACTTCGTAATGAGCAGCAATCAGTTATTTTGATCTACTCTGACCTTACCTAGCGTTTGACAAGGGGCCGCACAGGCGTCTTCTAGTGAAACTGGAAGCCCTCGTCATCTGTCCTCCTCTGTTTGACTTATATAGTTCATACATGCCTAATCTTATTCCGAAGGTCTTAGAAAGTAATAACTGCACAACGCCTCAACCGATCAAAAGCAGCAATTTTCGAGGTACGATTTCAGGCCCCCTTCTTTTTATCCTTAGTATAAATGAAATTTCAATGGTATACAAAAACACGGGAAGTTTCATCTATGCTGATAATCTTGAGTGCATTTACTCCTTTCCTAGGGGCTGGCCAATAACTGCTTTACTAAAATAAATGCAGATTTTCGAAAGCCCTTACGTTATGGGCCTGAGAACCATGACTCGAGCAGCTCGCGGCTCACAGGGTTGTCACCTCCTGCGACGATTTCGGTCTCGCTAAGCAGGAAACTATGGCCGGGTCCTGTTGAATGAGCTGCAACGGGGAAATTGGCGTCTTTTTTCGTCACCGCCGCTACGTGCTCGGCCATTCGCGTCTGGAGTAACTTCCGGCCCAAAAGTTTGGTGAATTCTTCCGTACGTGAAGAATGTATCGGAAGCAGTCGGCAGCCTGCCAGAGTTGGAGTTGCGCACAGAGCATAAGCAAGCATCAGGCGCCAAGTCATGAGACCGAAAGACCCAC